TTTTCCCCCCGTGTGGATGAGAGGCATCTTTTTACGGAATCCCAGTCTTTGCATTGACTATATGTAGGTAAAATTTAGTTGAATTGTAGCTCAGCTATGTTGGAAACCAATGTTATGGTGTTTGTTGAGAGTGGAAACATTTTGGAAGGCTAAATCTGTATGCATTATTAATAATGATTATTTGTTTTCGGCATAGTATATGGGATTGGGTATTGATGAAAATTATAAATTGTATTTTTTACTTGCTTTATAATTCTTTTGTGCCTTCTTTTCCAACGTTTGGATGGAAAGACTTCCCATTATAGTGTCAATGCTTTATCAGTGGGATTCTTTTACTTCTCCATATATCAATGTTTGTATTCAAATTAAAATATTTTGCAGGTGAGCAATGCACACAGTTGGACATGTATGGACCTTTACGTCTTTGCAACCCCATATCGTGTAACATGGGACTACTACGTATTGTCTCGTGAACATACTCTTGAAATCAAAGAGTGGGAGTCTCAGGCTGAGTTAGAATATGTGAGTCCTTATCATTTCTTAAATGAAGTTAGAAGGGCACTAATTTAAGCATAATTCATGATACTAATGGATTAAAATTGAAACAGGTCAAACATAAAGGTATCTCAATTTTCCTAATGCAAGCAGGAATGTTAGGAACCCTTTCAGCACTATGGGATGTTCTTCCTTTGTTCTCTAATACTTTATGGGGTGAGAACTCAAATATTGGTTTTCTCAAGAAACATATGGGTACTTCATTTGAAAAACGTCCGCAGCCATGGGTTACCAACCTTACTAATACTGATGACATACATTCTGGAGATTTTCTTGCATTATCAAAAATCAGAGGTCGCTGGGGTGCTTTTGAGACTTTAGAGAAATGGGTATCGGGAGCTTATGCTGGCCATTCTGCTGTTTGCTTGAGAGACTCTGAAGGAAAACTATGGGTTGGCGAATCTGGAAATGAGAATGATAAGGTAGAGTCCTAAACTATTATGTTTTCACATTATGTTATTATTTGGTGTTTACTCTTTCTTATATTGGGGAGCAAGGGCAATATCTGCTACACAATAAAGAAATTGAAGATTAGAAGGAGAATTGTGATAGAGAGAATATTATCTCATCTCTTTTCATACGAACGGCAATGTCTGCTACGGAATAGAGAAATTGAAGATTAGAAAGAGAATTGTGATAGAGAATATTATCTCATCTCTTTTCGTACTTTCTTGTTCATGTTCCTTAAAAACTTCAAGATTTATGTTTAGGGAATTCTGGATTTTTGACAAAGTAATAAGGAGCATTGATAGCGAATCAAACTTTTAGGGAATAAAGGGCTCTATCTCAAATGAATAAAAAAGAAAGAGATAAAAGTGATACACGTTGGAACAATTAATTTAAGGGATTAAAGTGACATTCAAATCAGCAAACTTTAGGAAAAAAATATCTCAAGTTTGTGATTGTGGTCTCGCAAGCCTTAAGCGACACTTTTTGTGGCGTATACAGCTATAGATATCAGTATGATTATTACAAATTTTTTGATAAGGCTATGAATATTACAACGTTGACTTCAAATATCACGTTGTATGAGTATCATATTAAAAGGTATGATCCTCATTCAACAGTTGCATAAACTTAAAGCGCAACTAACTAGATTGCAACTTGTGGACATGCAATAGACACATATCCAACGCATTAACAAATAGAAAGGGAGGTCTGTTTGCTGTGGTTCTGGGTATTTGACTCGGCCCAGGCACCTTGGGGGAGGTTGAAGATTAAGAAAATTTCTATGCATGAATGACCATATATTTGATAACGAAATCTCTATATCATATTTGCACCAATTTTATTCTTCACATTTCCTTTCAGGGAGAAGATGTTATTGCTATATTGCCTTGGGAAGAATGGTGGGAGTTTGAGGTGAAAAAAGATGATTCCAATCCACATATTGCGTTGCTGCCTTTGCACCCTGACCTCCGTGCCAAGTTTAATGAAACTGCTGCTTGGGAATATGCAAAAAGCATGGCAGGCATGCCTTATGGTTACCACAACTTAATATTTAGCTGGATAGACACAATTGATGGAAATTACCCCTCACCCTTGGATGCTAATCTGGTAATGCATATTATTTTACGGTACAGTCTTGCCAATTTTGTGCTTACAGCATTATATGAAGCTGCTTGCTTTCATACGGTCCTCTACTTCCTGATTCCTCTGGTTTGTGACTATACTCAGCTGTTCTTTGCTGGATTATGTCCTCACAAATAAACAAAATAATTACTAATAGAGGGTAACATAGACCTCAGCATATTTAGTTGCTCTGCTAGTGAAATAATATTGTTGGACATGAAGTAAAATTGGGTAAACGCATGCATTTCACACACTGGTTTCATGTATCAAACAGTATCAAAATTTCCATAAGGGTAATATCCATTTGAATTTTGACTTGATTTTATCATCAGTTTCTTCTCACAGAGCTTCATTTCACTGCTATTAACTATCTATAATGAGTCTAGTGTTGCATAGAACTCCACAAAGTATGCATGTGAAACTTAAGCAGTAAATAGATGATCGGTTAATATTTCGTGTCTCGTGAGAGCTAAAATAGTATTTTGGTGTAAGAAACTTGAAGCACCATAGAGTCGTGAATGAGCTTGAAATTACTCTTTGTGATATGAGATAGGCAGTTTGAATCAGAAATTAGGAGGATGAAGGGTGAGGAGTGGGAAGAGACGATAACGACATTAAGCAAGTAGAAATGCCAGGCGTTATAGATAAAGTGGACCATGTGGCACTTGGTTTTTGTATGTTCAATAATTGCTACTGTATTCCTGCAAATTGGAAGTGGCAGAGTGGCCTTGGTACCACGCTGCACTGAGATTCAGCCATTAGTCGCTCTCCTATTCATATTTTTTTTAAAAAAATAAAAAGATTCCTGCCAATTAAAAATTAACGTGTTACTTTATAAAATTGTTGCTGATGTTTAAGTGATGTGTGGTGCAGGTTGCTTCTGTCATGACTGTTTGGAACCACCTTCAGCCTGCATATGCTGCGAACATGTGGAATGAAGCCTTGAACAAGCGACTCGGAACTAAGGTTATGTTTTTGTATAATCACATTCATGAGATGCTTCTGTTTTTTGAGATAAAAACGGTGGATAATACACTATTTAAGCAGCTGATTGAGTAACTAATTTAAATATCAGAATACTGTATTTACAGAGATTGATGGCATAAAGCCATTGTTATACTGAAAATATACTGTGCTTTGTGAACTCTCATATATCTCAAGCGAAACTAAGTTAGTGTAGACCTCTATGACTGACTTGACATATACTACATGCTGATCTATATTGTTCCATGCAGAACCTTAGTCTTCCTGATATTCTTGTGGAAGTTGAAAAGCGTGGATTCTCTTTTGCCAAATTGTTGGCTATTCCAGAGAAGGATGATTGGGTTTATAGTGATGGAAAGTCGACATCATGTGTTGCTTTTATTCTTGAGATGTACAAGGAAGCAGGGCTATTTGGTGAATTTGCAAGCTCAATTCAGGTTACAGAATTCACGGTGAGTTGGTTTCCAGGACATTTGCATGATCTGTACTTAGATGAATCTAAAACTGCTTTTCCTTTTCTCTTGGTTGCCTTTTTGTGGATGGCGGGTGTTCTTTTTGTTGGGGGTGGGGAGTTTCAAATGTTTGTATATGTAGTGAGGTATCTTGCACTCGTTCTTCCTATTATTCTTCACATTCCTACTAAATACTCCCGTTGTCCCAATTTATGTGACACTTTCCTATATAGTCAATCCCAAGATGAATGACATATTTCCTTATGTGGCAAATGTTTATTGATACTATTTTACTCATGTTGGGTCCCACTTATTTGGGAAAATGTCGACAGAAGTGTATTCGTCTATTTAAAAATTCATTTATTTTAGGGGTATTTTGAACATTGCAAAGTCTTTCCAGTATTTCTTAAACTCTGTATCCATTCAAACTACATCACGTAAATTGGGATGGAGGGAGTACATGTTTTCAGCAATCCTTGCTACAATTCTGTATTAGTTCCAAATAAGCTGGTGTACGCATTGTTTGGGTTGTCTAAAGTTCAAACATTGTGTCCATTGTCCACTTCCCTAAAATAGGAAGTTTTTTACTGTACTCTTGCATACGTTTCAGTATCTTAGTGCCAAAAAATGTGGAAGTTAGGAACCAAATTTTAAACCAGAAGTATTACAATTCTTGGAAAGTTATCCAATCCTCTATCTTAATATTGCTCATGTTTGTGAAACTATTGCATCATTCTTTTATCATTCAGAAAAAAGAAAATTACAATTCTTGCACTACTTGTTTGCTGCTGACCCTGAGGTCTAATGGGTCATCTAATTGAAAAGCACATGGAAGTATCATGTTGGATTCAACTTTCTGGAGTTCGAAAAGTGACATATTTATTGCTGGGATTGCAGATTAAAGATGCTTACTCTCTCAAGTTTTTCGAGAACAATTCAAGCCGGTTGCCAAAGTGGTGCAATGCAGATGATAATGTGAGCCTTCCTTTCTGTCAAATTCGAGGAGAGTACCGGATGGAACTACCTGAATACAATAGTATAGATCCGTACCCCCATATGAATGAAAGATGCCCATCTATGCCTCCGAAATATTTCAGACCACAAAGTTGTTGACAACGGCTTTCCTATCATCCTCGTAATCTCAGAGGTTAGAAGCATATAGTTTTTCACTCATCAGTTCTCAGGTTGTATACTTGTAGTACAATATCCTAGAATGCACAAGGTTGCTGATGACTATATACATATATGTTGCTCTTATCTAATAGTTTGTACAAAGTTTGGTGTTACACATCCTGATCAATGTTGCACAGGACAGAATCCTAGCTTGACAAGTTCCACATTTTAATTCAGATTTATACTTAATGAGCTTGGGATAAATGAATCCAAAAGAACTTGTATATATGGAAAAGAGTTGGTATTCTAAGTGGATGTTAATTATTTTTTCTGCCTTTGTAACTTAAGATATCTACACTCAATTTTTCTATAGTAAAGTTGTTTCAGTGCCAACCTCAAAATTTTGACAAATTACCCAAGAATCAATTACATAACATGAAAGGACTAACAAGTGCTCAAATATGCCCCTGAAAAGTTTCATCTTTCCTGCTCTCGTTTCTCTATTCCATTTTTCAAACTGCTTGGAGATGCTTTGTTGTAAGTTGGGGTCTATTGAAAATAGCCTCTCTAACCCTACGAGGTAGGGTTAAGGTCGGTCTACACTATCCTCCTCATACCCCACTTGTGGGATTACACTGGGTATGTTTGGAAAATTTCATCTTTCCTACTCATTTCTGAATTCCATTTTACAAACTGCTTGGAAATGCTTTATATAAGCCGAGGGTCAACTGAAAATAGCCTCTCTATCTCTACGAGGTAAAGTTAAGATTTGCATACACTCTACTCTCCTCGGACCCCACGGAAAATTTTATCTTTTACATCCAACTTTTAGTTTTCAAGTTTCAGTAAACAAAAGTTGTATAACTTTAAGCTTCATAGGAAAAAGAAGAAGTTATATAACTTTTGAGCTGTAATAGCTAAATCTAGAGAAAAGAAGAATTGTGCTTATGCATGTTGAAGTTCCAATTTCTCATATCTAATTTTTAGCCCTTTTAACTTTCAAATATAAAGTTTCAATAATCGCGGCTGGATTGTCAGGCCTTAAAAGTGTACATCTTTTGACATGAATACATCATAATATAGTGAGTATTCCCCTTAGGAGATTCAAATTTGATGTCAAACCCAGTCTAGTTTTAGTGTACTTTTAACAGCAATGTATCATAATATGGAGTCTTGAGGTTGACAAAACTCACTTCCTGTTGAAGAAGAATGTGTGATTGTATGATTGAATTCATTGAATTATAGAGGTTTCCTGGGAACGATTTGGACGGTAAGTCCTTGAGTTGGTACAGGCATTGGGTCCCTGCTGAAGAAATCATCTGTACAGCATAGCTTCCATGTGAAATGTGTTACTAGGTAATGGATTGTGACCAAGGTTTCAATCTTCGCAAACTCGTATCCAGGACATATACGGGTTCCCCCTCCGAATGGAACAAAGTTGTAAGGAGGCAAAGATGCTGAGTTCTCAAAACGTGCTGGATCAAATTTCTCTGGTTCTTGGAAAATGCTGCTATCCATATGTGTCTTAGTCGTTACCCAGAATATCTATGTGCAACCATGAGCAGTGGTCAAATTTGGGTTATGGCAATAAGAAGATTACTGAGTACTACCAAATTAACAGATTGAAGAATGGAGATCAAAGATGGGAATTCTGATCTTACTTGCCATCCTTTCGGAATGAGGTAGCCACCATACTCAATGTCTTTTACAGTCTGCCTGAAGTTTCCGAAAATGGGAGGGAACATTCTCATTGTCTCCATTGCCACTCTCCATGTGTATTTCATCTTGCCAAGGTCTTCCCAAGTTAGGGACTCTCCAGGTGACTTGGTCTCTGCTATCTCTTCTTGTTCTGTGTTCCCTCCCACAAGCTTATTTAGAAGAAACCCAAAAGATAGAGTGACTGGAGTCTGAATGAAGTTCAGAAGAGTTCTTACCTTTAAGGACAGCTGTGTAGATGTTTGGATACTTTGCTAAAAGTCTTACGATGAAAGTTATCAAGACAGATGAAGTGTCATATCCAGCAACCATTATGAGCATGACGTTGTGAATGATCTCAGTTTCAGATATGAGTTCTTGGTTGTTCTCTCCACGGATGCTGAGCAAACAGGTGATGAGATCCTGATGGGATGAAGCTAAGTTGTTGTCAAACTCATGGTGTTTCTCAGAAACAAGCTGTTTCAGCATTTTCTGGACATCTTTGCTTGCCTTGAGGCTGCAATTGAAGCGCGTAAAAGGCAAGTTTATAGGGATTGACCAAATTCCTTCTATCATCTGCTGGAAATAATGAATCATTTGGTCTCTTTGAGCTCCACGTTCAAGCCCGAAAAGGAGAGAGCAAATAATGTTGAAGGTGAGTGTCTTCATCAAAGGTAATACCTATCATCAACACAAAAGTTAGTTGTAAATGTCTTAGGTTACATGCAAAAATAGTGTGTGTGTGGGGTGGGGGAGGGGGGGTGGGTGGGGGGGTTGGGGTGGGTGGGGTGGGGTGGGGAGGGGGATGACAAACCTTAATTATTTGCTTGTCTTTCCAGTAAGTCTCGACATGGATTCTGACTTCTTCTTCCATCTTTCCAACATAACGCTTAAGACAATCTGGCTTCAAGAACGATACCAGGGCATCTCTAACCCGTTTATGATCTTCACCATTGAGTTCCAAAAGGCAACGATTGCCCAGAATCATCTTGACTGACTGTGGCTGCTGATTAGTGAGGACAGAGCAATCACTGGTAAATACAAACTTGTTAGCAGCCTGTCCATAAATGAATACAGTGGGCTTGCCAAAGAGGCTTAGCTTTGAGATAGGACCATATCTCTGTACTCTTTCTTCAAGCCATTTCTCTGCTGTGTTGGCTTTCATTGCCCTTAGCATCCCAAAACTTTGACCGATGATCGGAAATCCAAGGGATCCTGGTGGAACCCTCGTCAATGATCTCCTCCTCCGAACAAGGAGGAGGAATACCGGGAGTAGAAATAGGAAAATAGTTACTATAAAGTTCATGATTGAAGGTATAAAGGTAATGAGCTTAGGAAGTAGAAGTATTTTATATAATTTTCTTGTGTTGTTAACTTTGTTGGTTTCTGGAAAAGTATCTCAGCTCCAGTATGGTATCTTATAACACAAATATGCCATATCTAGAGATACCAAACTATACTTTTCAGTAATTATGGTATAAGCCACATCTAGATATGCCAAACTATACTTTCCAGTGATTGTGGTATATACCACATAGAGATATACCAAACTATACTTTAACTCGACCAACATGTCGTACAGGAAGAGTGTTGGTAAATAGGACAATTGTGGTTTATTTTATAATTGAAAACAAGTAGTGCAGAGTCCAAATCAATCATGTCATGATAATGGTGATGATCTTTACATCTGATAATTTATTTGATAAATTGATACAACATAGGTACTTTGTCCAGTACTCTGGTACTTGTGTTGGTGGGAGATAGTAGGTATCTAATTGAATAGTCAAGGTGTGCACAAGTTGTTTCGGACATTATCTTTTTCTTTTTGTGTTTGAAAATAAATAATCATGATCCAATAATTGTTTTGTTAGATTGATACACCATGAAAAAGCAAAGTCAAGTGTATCACAAAACTATAGTTAAAAACTCGAAAAAGCAATCCCATTGTATTCAATAAAAGTACATTTTCAGCCGGCTGTATACACCAATTCATAAGTTTTTACATCTACTAAATCATGGTTATAAAAAGACAAAAAGATACAAAGACTTTGATTGTCGAGGTGCACAAAATTTGAAAATAGAGAATAAATATGCCATCAACCTCACATAATAGGTACAAAAACTTTTTGATAGTCGAGGTGACTCGAATATCATGGTTATAAAAAGACAAACAGATACAAAGACTTTGCTAGTCGAGATGCCCACAAGTTGGCTATGATATTACGATTATTAAAAAAAACAAAGCCTTCTCATTAGTTGATGTGCTCAAGCTAAAGCTTAAATACCATAAAGTTACTAAATAGTTGAAAGACAAAGGGAAAAACCTTATGAGTTGAGTGATATAATACACTTCAACTTATCGCATAATATTCCTCTTATGAGTCTTAAGGTTTACGAAGTCTGCTGCCTCTTTGAGAAGATTGTAGGATTGAATTTTTTGAACTAGAGAGGCTTCCTGGGAATTATTTGAATGGGAAATCCTTGAGTTGGTACTGGCATTGGGTCCCTGCTGAAGAAATCGTCTGTACAGTATAGGTTCCATGTGAAATGTGTTATTAGGTAATGGATTGTGACCAAAGTTTCAATCTTTGCAAACTCGTATCCAGGACATATACGGGGCTCCCCCTCCAAAAGGAACAAAGTTGTAAGGAGGCAAAGATGCTGTGTTCTGCTGGATCAAATTTCTCTGCTTCTTTGAAAAATGCAGCTATTCATGTGTGTTTTAGCCGTACCCAGAATATATATATGCAGCCATTAAGCAGCGGTTAAATTTGGATTACGCCAATCAGAAAAAGACTGAGTACCACCAAAATTAACAGGTTGAAGACTGGAAAATCAAAGATGGGGATTTTGATCTTACTAGCCATCCTTTTGGAATGAGGTTGCCTCCGTACTCGATGTCCTTTACAGTCTGCCTGAAGCCTCCAAAAATGGGAGGGAACGGTCTCATTGTCTCCATGGCCACTCTCCAGGTGTATTTCATATTGCCAAGGTCTTCCCAAGTGAGTGACTCTGTGCAATACCTTCCTGGTCTGCATTCCCACAACTTATTTAGAAGAAACCCGAAAGATAAGAGTAACTCCAGTCTGAATGAAATTCAGAGGCAGTCTTACCTTTAAGGAAAGCTGCATGAATGTTTGGATTCTTTGCTAAAACTCTAACCATGAAAGTTATCAAGACAGATGAAGTTTCATATCCGGCGACCATGATGAGCATGACATTGTGAATGATTTCATTTTCAGACACGAGTTCTTGTTTATTCTCTCCAGGGATGCTGCGCAAGCAGGTGATGAGGTCCTGGTGGAATGAAGCTAAGTTGCTGTCAAACTCATGTTGTGTTTCTCTGAAATAAGTTGTTTCAACATTTTCTGGACATCTTTGCTTGCCTTGAGGCCGTGATTGCAGCGCGTAGAAGGCAAGTTTATGATCAAAGGTAATACCTATTATCATAATGCAGAGGACTATCTGGCTAACCCGTTTATGATCTTCATCATTCATTTCGAGAAGGCAACGATCACCCAGAATTATGGTTCATGGACAAATCCAGCATAAACAAAATATTAAGTGATTTTTTTTCATTTGTTCGTGGAAGAGTTAATTGATACTTGTTGTTATTGCTAATTTTGATGGACAAAATTAACTGATATTTGTTGTTGTTGCTGCTGATGGAAGCTTTAGCATATATACTGAGAGTTATGTTGGGCAAAAACCAAATGTTCACCAAACTTTGAGAAACCATTGAAAGAAAAGACAAGAAGAAAATGGAGTCCTGTTTATTAATTTTTTCCTATAATAAAGTTTGAAGTGCCACAAGACACGTGGATAACAATGAAATATAAATCCAGATTACACGTAGAAAATCCAAATACAGCAAACACTTTTTATTGAGTGAAGATTCAATTTGTCCGTCAGAAATTGTCTTTCTATCTTCTTCGAGTAGATATCGAATATTGAGGGAAAAAAAAGATGAGAAGTTGTAAATGTTTACTAGTGATAACAAACATCAAAATAAGAGTTGATCCATTGAATTCTATAAAATTGAGTATAAAATAAGAATACATTTTTAGCTTGATACATACAGTATGAAATTGGAACCCCAAAATAAATAATATGGTATTACTCAGTTTTAAGTGGAAAATGGTTTCCTCTTGTGGCAATTTTGTACAGGTAAAACCCAGTCATGAGTGCACTGCAGAAAAGTGAGAAAACAAAATAAATATAACATCAACCTCATATAAAAGATACAAAAACACTTTGATCGAGCTGCGCAAACTGGTCCAGACACCACAGATATAAGAAAATCAATTACAAAGACTATTTTAGTCGAGGTGCTCGCAAGCTAGTCCTGATATTATGATTATAACTTTTCGATAGTCGATGTGTGCAAGCTTGGCTCGAGTAATAGAAAGAGACACATTGCAACTGCAGGCCTTGTGCAATGTTACCTTATGTTGCTTGGACTCTTTAAAAATATCGTCTAGTCTGAGTCGGATCCTCAAAAAGTAGTGCATTTTCCAAGGATCCGACACTTTGCTACCGATAATCTCCATTTATTATCATCCTGTGTGATGCCTTGATTCCACACAACCTCTAACCTCTTGAACCTCACTTATGGAATTACACTGGGTATGTGGTTGTGATATGCCATGATAAAATTTGTCATACCTCACAAACCTAGTGTACTTAAAAAAGATAGACAAAATACAGCAACCAAGGAGCAAGTTGAGTATGGTATGCTTTCATTTGCAGTTACCTGATACCAGCAACAGCACCAGCCGGCATTAGTTTTGAAGTTTGCATGTACCGCTGCCCCATAACCCATGTTAACATGGCTGCACAAGCTGTTTGGAATCGAGTAAAGTGAGTGGCGCGACTATAATAAACAAAGCAATTTCATTAACAGAAGCAAAAAAGATGAGATTTTGATTTTTCTTATCTGAATCAGAAGGACATCAAACCTACCATCAGACAAACAAAAACATATTCTCTCCGCGTTAGCATTTCTATTTCGTCTAAGCAACACACCAAGTAGGAAAACTACAGAGTTCTGATCAAGGTCAAAACAGCTTATTATAGTATTACATGTACTCCCTGGAAAGCTTCAAACTTGATGAATCGACTGTTATTTTTGAGTTAAATGTTCACTTGGAAAGTTGTATTTTTGAACATTAAGATTGCAGTTGACACAACTAACTGGTAGAGAGTCCACGATTATCACAGAATTCATTCAAAGGATGGTGGTTTGCACAATACTTCTGATCATTGTTAAAGGAGATGCTGAGAGGAAACATGCATAATCATATATCTTTTGACCTTGTTTAGTTCATCATATAACATGATATTTTTGAAGTTCTCTTTTGTTAATAGTTGCTCCAAACTTCAACCAATATTAATGATCTGCTCCAACCTCCAACTTAACATCTGTGAAACACACAAGCAGATACTCGAAAGGTAAATGAACCCTAAAGGAAACCTAATAGCAATTAGATGCTAAAGTACTGTACCTTCCAATGATAGTATCCACATAAGAACAAACAGCTCACATCAAGTTTTAGGTCCAAACAAGAAACAAACACACAAGAACAAAGACACCAGGGTTGCATCTCATTTTTGCTCAGGAGAGACAGTCGATTTCTTAGAAGGACAAAAATCAAAGAAGATTTCATTCTTTAAGAGGAGAAATACTAAACTAGAACTAGTCTTCGGATCTAGTGAAGGTCTGGGGAGGCTAGAGTGTACACATGCTTTATTCCTACCTAGTTTCAAGAACAACAAGCATAAATGAGAGGCTATAACACAATCAAGAACTGTGATTCAATACTATTTCAGCACAATAAAACAGAAAAGATCCAAGCTTGGCCAATATGAGATGCAGTTTTTTTCTAATGAAATGAAAAGGGTAATACCAGTTTCAAGAATCAAGGCAAAGTATGAATTTTTGCGTTTGTGAAATGCTTGCAGACTCAAGTAACCCGCTAAGATCAGAGCAAATCCAGTACCAACACCTCCAGCAAGTGAAGCTGTGCTTCCTTTACTGGCATATCCCATGACACCACCAGTCACCAGAATTAACCCATAAGGGATCGTAAAGCAGAAATCATGCATCTTTTACCAAGATTTGATTTTTTTATTTTTTTTAGCAAATTTTTAGTCAAGATTTCAGAGATCAAAAAAGTTTGAAACTTTGGAATTGGTCGTGACTCGTGGGTTCAATGGCATATATAAAATTTGTTCCATTTGGTCTAAAATGACCTCAAGATTTGTTCTTGAATGTACAGGGAAGATGAAGTAGGCGAGGGTAATATAGTCAATGCACTAATATGACCCCCCCCCACCCCTACCCCAGGGTGCTTCTGTGCACCACACTCCTGCTTTTTCTTTCATCTTCTTCTTTTTCTTCTGTAACTTCCCGGGTCGGGTCACTTATGCTCCATTTCCTTTTCGACCAGACCCGGATTTTTCCTCCATGTTAATGTATTTCAAGAATCGGGTCGTTTCATTTTCTGGAGGTAACCATTTCTTTGCCAGACAGAACCTTCACCCTCTACCTGTTCAAGTTCAAAACTTGTCTCAAACCCTAGAAATGGTGAATGAATCGGGTCATTCAAAGAGACCCATGTGCCCATCATGCTCTAAACCCACCCGTTTGTGTCTCTGCACTCGATTGAAGACCCCATGTCTTGAAAACTCTGTGGCTGTCACAATTCTTCAACACAGTCTAGAGAAAAATCACCCTTTAAATTCCACTAGAATTGCTTCTATTGGCCTGCAAAATCTGAGTGTGATTTCAGTTTCTGATGTTAATTATGAAGCTGAATTCGTCATTCGTTTGCTCAACTCAAATCTTGAAATGGGTTCTCGAAATTTGGATGACAATAGTAGGAGAAACCATAAAGACTCAAATTTTGATAGTAATGCTGCTGTTTCTTTCACTATAGAGAAGTATGGTGCAATTAGTACCTCTCAGAATCAACATTTGAATAAGCCGTGGGAACAGTCTCTTGCAGTAATGCAGGGTAAGACTCTGCATAGCGGGAGCTTAAGTGCACCAAGCTGCGCTTCAACAGCCTCTAGAGAAGCTAGTGATGATATACGAAAAGGGTTTTTGGTAAAAAAGTTGCAGAGGAAGTTATTGGATGGGGGCTGTGAATTTCAAGAATCAAAGGAGTTTGAAATTTCAGTTCCTTCAGGATCAGTGCTGTTATTTCCAAGTGAAAATTCGATAGGCACTGAGGAGATCGATTTTGAAGTGAAAAATCTGATTGTACTTGATGGGACATGGGCAAAAGCAAAAAGAATGTATAATGAGAATCCTTGGTTGAAGATGTTGCCACATTTGAGGTTGGATGTAGAGAAGCTAAGTTTGTATAGCGAAGTGAGGCGTCAACCTAGAGCTGGATATTTGTCCACCATTGAGAGTATTGTATATGCTTTGAAAGCTGTTGGAGAAAAAGATTGCGAAGGATTGGATCATTTGTTGGATGTGTTCGAGTCTATGGTTGTAGATCAGAGGAGATGCAAAGATGAGGGATTGAGGCAAAGATTCTCCAATTGCGACTAAATTTAAATGAGTGTTCTTTAAGTTCATTTAGCTTTGTTTGGATCACTAGATGTGAATGAGATTATTCAAGCATCTTTTTAGATGAATATGCTACTACTTTTTGTACTCAGATTACTTCTTCATTGAGTTGAGGGAGTATCGGAAACAACCTCTGAGGTAGGGTATAGTTTGTGTACGCTCTACCCTCCTTATACCCCACTTTGTAGGACTACATGTCTGAAGTAGCTTGTGCGTAGCAGGATTAGCTTCACGGGTACTTGCTACTTAGTTCTTGGTAAATCTGAGTTGTATTTCGTATCAGTTTATTCTGTGAATCTTGTTGCTTTTGAAGGAGCTAATAGTCTCAACCGTCTTTTTAGACTCTTTACTAGTGTTGTCGTAATTAGAGCACAAGCACTTTGCAAGAAAGGGACAAACAGTTTAAAAATGGGAAATCCATAAGCATGAGCAAGAACTCTTCAAATTAAAACCCTCTTGGCAGCGCGATTTAAAGGCGATGCAGCCCTAGATTATTCAGAGCAGATACATTACTAATGTGCTGGATTAAGTATGCAATATCAGAATCAAACTTTGCCTGTGAAACACTTGGTGATGGTTAGACAAACTTCAGATATTTGAGATGATAACAGGACATATCTCAGCGTCCTCGGGGGTGTATGTAACACCATAGATAAATCTTATATCAACAACAAGATACAGGAGATGCTGGGTATATAAAGAAGTAAGTCTAAGATTCTATAACGCGTTTAAAGTCATGTTGGCCTAAGCCCAAAATTTTGTGCAACCTTTGATTATGACGGACATCCTTGATGATGTCGAGGGTGTTTATTTATGTATAGCAACATCATAGACAAATCTAACTCTACCAATACCATAACATAGAAAAGGACAAGTATATAAGAAGCAAGTCTTAAACCTTAGTGATGCGTTCTAAACTTCTGTTAAAGAAATATTTTTAACAATTTGTTCAAAGAGAAAGATGGAGTCGTAAAGCAACACTTAAATTGTCTTCGTGTAATCTACGGGTCACGAAATTGATACTTTAAATTGTGAAAGTAGAGACTAATACTTTCATTTGAGATGGTTTGTCTTAATCTCACCATTTAGGTGCAGTCCTTCCTGGACTCTTGTAACTATTGACAAGCTTAAAAATATTTATTTTTCGACTAACGAACTTAATTTCACCTATCATTTTATAACACGAGTAAAATACACTTCAATAATTTTCTCGATACCATGTCCGTGCTAGAGTTTGAAATCAGTTGCTATTAATTTGCTTTAAATTGCAAAAGTGTTCTTAATATTCTCTCGTGTATTTTTGTTTCTTCACAGAGCTACGAACACACAGTAGCGAGCTTAGAATGATGAAGCTATTTCCATGGCGTCGTTTAACCATTCAAGCACATGGTACCCTCTATTCCAAAATCCCCTCTTTATCATTCATCAATTATTCCCCTTCTCTGTTCCATTCTCAGCCAGAGCAAGATGATATCTTCGACCCTCCATTTTCTCCCCCCTTAAAAACCCATAAACCCAAGAAATCGATAACAGAAAAGCATGAAAATGCAGCATCCAACGAAGATTCTGAAAAAGCTCACAAATTTACTGTCAACTCCGACTTGCCCTTTGATTTTCGCTACTCTTACTCTGAAACCAACCCGGCGGTTGAGCCAATTGGTTTCCGTGAACCGCCTCGGTTCTCTCCGTTTGGACCGGGACGGCTTGATAGAAAATGGACCGGAACTTCAGCTCCGCGTTTACAGCCGGTGGATTTGGAGAAAGTGGCAGAGGAGCGACGGCGGATCCTCGGAGAACCGCTCTCAGAAGAAGAAACGGCGGAGCTGGTCGAGAAGTATCGTCATAGCGATTGCTCTCGTCAAATGAATTTGGGTAAGTTCAATAAGAGCCGTTAACTTGTTTCAAGTCAAAACTAGTATAGTACCTGTGCAATGTGTGGAAGATGGACAAAATTAGAGCAGAATGGACTATAAGAAGGTTCATTTAGATGCAACACTTGTTTGGATTGAGGCGAATTGATCGAATTTCAACAAGCCTCCTCCGTTTTCGGATGAGTGTAACGTGATAATGATGGTTTTTGTTGTAAGTAGAAATTTGTGGCAGAGAGGTAACTTATAGCATAAATGATCGGATGTTATAGCGAGTGGTTATTATAGAGAGGTTTGACAGTATAATGAGTAAAATCAGCCTTCTGCGATAAATTCTGTGATTGTCTGTTTGTCTTTGCTAAGTAAGATAGAGTCATTCGTGTTTGTATTCTGAATATATTTTGTTTTAATGTACTTCCTGAAGAAGTTATGATATAATCTTATATATATGAACTCCATCTTAGCCGAGATAAACAGGAAAGGAAGTTGTCGGCCAAAATAAAGACAGTCAACTTATTATGATGAATCGAATATCAAAGAACAAAGAATCCCTTCTAGTTTAGGTTTGAGGCTAGTAGAGCTAAGTAGATATCTTGCACATATGGCTTCTGTTTGACCGATGATTGGTATTTGTCTCTATGAATATAAATTTGCATCCTCATTTACATCTTGGTATAATGATCACTGCATTTAATTCAGTTTGATCCATACTTCTCCATGATTATCATAGCTTTATTGTGTGTTAGGGCGGGGTGGAGTTACTCACAATATGTTGGAAGATATCCATAACTATTGGAAGAAGGCTGAAGCTGTTAGGATCAAGTGCTTGGGGGTGCCAACTCTTGACATGGATAACGTATGCTCTCATCTCGAGGTTTGTGATCTGAATACCAGAGTGCTGGCACATCTATTTGGATGTAGATTTCTTTAACCTTTTACAAATGAACACTTCTGTCTCTGATGCAAAGCACAGTATCATTGTAGGACAAATCAGGTGGAAAAGTTATCTATCGCCATATTAATATCTTACTCTTATATCGTGGTCGACATTATGATCCCAAAAGTAGACCTACTGTTCCTGTGATGCTGTGGAAGCCTTTGGCTCCAATATATCCGAAGCTTGTGAAGAATGTTGCTGAAGGCCTGACATTTGAAGAAACAAAGGCAATGAGGAACAAAGGGCTCAATGCTCCTCCTCTAACGAAACTCAGTGAGTAACTTGTGTTTTCTCTTTATTAAAAACAAGTTAACAGATTGCCGTCTGTATTTGTTGATTGTTACATGCCACTCTTCTAGGCAGAAACGGGGTGTACGTGAATGTGGTGGGCAAAGTCAGAGCGGCTTTTGAAACAGAAGAAGTTGTTAGATTAGATTGTACCCACGTGGGAGCAAGTGATTGCAAAAGAATTGGTGTTAAATTACGGGTATTATTCATATATCTTGCCTCAGCTTTCAAATCTTTAATGTTGATACTCCCTTCTTACCACAGGAATGTCTGTTTACCTCGACATTATGTTATGTTAAGTTATGTTATGACAATAAACCAAATAGCGACTGACCTGAGATACAGATTCTTCCCCAGTCTCTGAAACCTTGTTTGTGGTATACTAACTCGGGAAACATATGAGAAACAGGAACTATCTAACTTGCACCTGTAACGGTGTGGGAGTAAATTTCATATATTATTTGTCTCCGCCCCCTTTTTATTTTCAATGCACGACAAATTGAAAGTTTCATTTCACTCTATTAATTTCAGGATCTGGTACCATGTGTTCCTATCTTGTTCAAAGATGAGCAGATTATTCTCTGGAGAGGCAAAAGAGATGAACAGAACAGAACTCCGGCTCCTGAATGGAACTTAAGCTCACAGATGACTTTTGAAATTTCGAGCTTCCATCTTGGAGCAAGGCACTCACAATCTTCATTTGGCAAATGAATCTGCCAAGGCTTCTCGACTGTTGCTTGAACTTGTTATACAAGAACTGACCATTATGTTCAATGACATTATCCTGGGTTTTGCTGATGAGATGTGCTAAATTAGGCAGCTCAGATCACAGATGACAAAGAAATGCAAGCAGGTGAAGAACTAGTTTCTGAAATCCTGTAGTTGATAGACTACTTTTTGAGTTACATGTAAACGTTCATGCTAAAGCTTCTGAATTATAGATGTTTTCTACAGAACAATTAGTTACATTTTTATGGCATGGTATTCAACTTACAGCTCTCATCTTCAAGTTTTTGACTGTTGAGTTTGAGCAACAAGAGACATTACTCAATATATCTCCTAAATTTACTTAATAATAAGAACAAGTAGTTGGTTTCTGTTACAAGTAGAGCTAAGAGCTTCCAAGGATTTCTCTTAGTTCATGACTCTAACGCTGCTGCATCCTGAATCAATCAACGAGGTAATCGAAACTTGATCAGACCTCACTGGTTCATCATCATCATTTCTATGCCAGCTCCAAGAGGCATGAGTTGAATTAATTATCGCAAGTTCACCATGGCCAAAGCTTGCTTCGCGGAACACAGACCATTCTGGTTGGGGTAGCTTGTACCTGTCAATGATTCGCCAGGACATGTAAGTTCATTGTCATAATAACTTCCACTCTACAAAACCTTATATAAGCACTTTGTGAGAAGTTTCCTTTTGTTGTCAAAGTTGTTCAACTCAGAAACAGAACCAAACAAGTTCTTGTTTCCATTGCCATTTTAAGGATCTTGTGCTCAGCATGGCGAGAAAAATTAATACAAGGAATACTTACTTGCGCGCTAAACCTTCTTTGTTTCCTCCATCACCAATTGTTATGTGGACAGCACCACAAGGATCAGGTTTACCATTATAAACTCGTTGCTGTTGTAAAAGAAGAAATGAATTGCATCATCTACGAGTATGCAATAATCAAAAGTAAACAAGTAAATTAGCAAGCTAGGCATACCGTGCGTTCATAAGCATGAACATGCCCAGCAAATACTATATCTGCACCAGCTGCATATAACAGAGGCTCAATAGATGCCATCATGTCATCAGCTTCACCTTGATGAGCCTCATTACTGTTATACCATGGCACATGGAATAACACAACCAACCAAGGAGTCTTATTGCGATCAACCTTATGAAGATCAGCCTAGAAATGAATTTCCAATAAATGCACTTGTATTAGCAGAACGAAAAGTTGCTAAGCTTTTCAGTAATAAACGAGAGCTCAGCTAATTAACCTTCAGCCATCGATATTGATCAGAGTAGTCATCGTAATCAGTATATGAACCAAGCATGATTGTATGAACCCCAGCAACGTCAAATGAATAGTAGAGATTCGAAGTAGATCCACTCTCCTCAAATGGCATCTTCCACCTGGAGTTGTAAGATATAAATTCATCCACAACGAATGGTATGTTTTCTTTTTCATGATTCCCTTGAGTCACCATCCATGGTCTTGCACTAGCCAG